ATTCTACTACCAAGAAGATAATGACCCCAAACACTCATCCAACTTATGCAGAAATTACTTAGCTCAAAAAGAAGCTGCTAGAGTCATTCAAATGATGCAATGGCCCCCACAGAGCCCCAATATCAACCCAATTGAGCAGATCTGTGATTTGATAGATCAAAAACTTGACAAATCAAAATGTACTTCCAAAGATACTTTATGGGAGTGTATTAGAGACATTTGGAGTAAAATCCCAAAGGATCTTTGTTTAAATATGTTACAACAATACCTGAAAGACGTCTGCAATTATTAAAGCAAAAGGAAGGGGGGAAACACAAAAAATTATCTGTTTGCTGAACTCAAGCACTTCTATTGAGTTTCTGTTGTATTAAATATGAAGATTAATAAAATTTTGATGTTTCACCTGTGATTTACCCTCCATTGTTCTTTGAAAGTAGTCTGAAATATAATTTTTGACTTTGTCCTAACACTTTTGCACAGTACTGTAGACTCAACATAAGTCAAGTGAAATAAAAGAAACCATATAAAGCAATGTATAAAACAAATGAAAATAAAAAATGAATACAGCCATATGACTGGTATGCTTACAAACACTGAAATCTGAGGAAGTAGGAATTTGTTACCTTCAAATTACAATAGCTGTTGAGTATTACAATTCAAATGGCAGACACTTCTTGATAAAGAAATGGGAAAAAAATGAGTAAAAAAAATCAACATGATTAAGAAAATGGGATAAAAACTTTGAAAAAATAAAATAAATAGTTATAAATACAGGTTGTCCAAAGATTATGCAAATGAAATGGTTAATAAACTAGAATAGTTATTATGCAGACTGGCCCCCAAAATAATTACTATGAATTGATTTTAATTTGAAATGTATTTGTTCATGTGTTACCAAGCTTTGATTGATTTTCATGTAGTGAATGGCAGGCATATATTTTTTTGAACTGAGTTGTTGCTGCAATAAAGGACATTTATATCACTAATGCTCTCAAGTTCACATCTTACTTGAGTCAAATAAAATTTATAAATTTATACCTACATTAGAAGTTCAAGATGATACTTGATATTATACCACTTTTGTCCTAATATCTTCATAGTTCAATTTATTTATATTTTCCTTAATACAATGAAGCCAAATTGTGTAATAATGAAATTTGTAGGGATCTTGCAGCATACCCGCTCCAAAAAAATCTTTGATATCTTTATGTCAATTTCTTTCTTAAAGTGTGAATAAAATCTATTAAGTCTTACAGTTCTAAGCTTCTGTACAGGTTTTTAAATAAAGTAGTTATAGTAACTGTATTCAAAATAACATAAAATCTATCATATCCTTTTGTGGCCAATCTCTGTAGCATAACATAACATTCTGAGACAACATAGGACATATTGGTCCATTTCGGCTGTTCTATCCTCTAAACTAAATTAAAATATATATATATATATACATATATATAAAATCTTAAAGCCAGCCCTTTTCATTCATATACTTATCAAGCTTTTTCCTAAACTCATTTAACTTTACTGCCTCTACAACATCCGAATGGATTCAATCTCCTTGCTATTATCTTTGATATCCTCAACTTCAACAGGATGTAACTCACATTTTACATATAAAGCCACTCCTCCCCCTCATCAATGCTCTATCCATATTAAATAGCCTGTAACCCTGTATTTCAAAGAAATTTCTGTCATCAAAATCATATACATTTAACCATGTTTCAGTTATTCCCATTATATCAAAATCCTTCATTCCTACCAGTGCTCTAAAGTCATATATTATATTTCTTATATTTCTAGTATTATAATTGTAACAATTAAGCCTATCCTTATAAATATTTCTATACTTATTTCCTATACTAAACTTTTCTCTGCCTCTTATTCTTTTTGCATTTAGTTTTCCTGGCCCTCACCACTGTTTATTCCTAGTTTAAAACTTCCCTTACAGCTGAGTTAATAGCCTCAGCAAACAAGCCAGCCCCTACTCTGTTTAAATGTAAACCATCCATTCCAAAAAGCTCCCTTCTTCCACTGAACTGATCCCACAAGTCCAACCAGCCAATCTGCTCATCCTTACATACTAACCTAAGCTTAGCATTTAGCCCTAGTGACCTACTTATAACTTAATCCCCACAGTTAATTCTGGGCAGTATCCCTGACAAAATTAAGTTATGGCCTTTTCCTTTAAATGCCTAATAAACTAGTCCTCTGTTGAAACCAATTTCTGGACATCCTGTATATAAGAGGTAATGTACCTAATTTTAGTGTTAAGTTTTTATAATCTCATGGTTATCTTGCATTTGTATCAAAATGAAAAAACAATTTAACTTAAAATTCACTTACAGTGATCACCAAAAGACTTTGTAGTAAACATCTCTCGTAGGTGCACCAAATTAGAATGCTGAATTTTCTTCCAAGTTTCTACGACTGTCATACATTTTGCATTAGTCAGTCGGAAACCTATTTAACCATCAACCAAAAGAAATACTAATAAAATCAATACAATAAGAGAAACACTGTGTAGAAATATAAACTTGTAAAATTTATTTTTATTTTTCAACCATAATATTCAAATTCATTAATATATACATATAAACAAATATCTAAGTAATTTTCTTCTTACCATGTATCCTTCTTAAACAGTAGTAAACACCAGTTTTCATGTTTGTGGCCTTATAAACAGAAGTAATAAAATCGGAATGTTGCAGACTTATTTGGAACACCATCTTTTGAAGGTTCCAATGGACAGAGATTGTGGTAGTTATCAACTTCTGTTGGAAGATCTGAAGAAAATATTTTTATATTTTGATTAATATAAATTAAACATTTTTTCAAGATAATATCATTTGAAAAGTTTCAGGATATTATTTTAAAATCAAATAAAGTAGTTTAAACATATGGTACAATTAATGTTTAGGTCTTTTCTGGTTTAGTATTAACAATTTGGATTTTATTGGTAAATCAAGCTCCATATGAGGGTAATTCTTTGCAAAAAATTTGTTTTTATTTCAGCAAAATACACAAATTCCATTTCCAGTTAAAATGCTAACTGTATACAAAATCTAAAACAATAGGATAATCTGTCTTTCCAGAAGTTTTTAATATTTTTATTAAACATTTTGGTGAGAAAATACTTGGCACAAGCCAAATAAAGAAATAATTTTCACATACATAATTAGTACATTCAACTCTACTTAGGTGTACTATGAAGAAACAATCTAAAGTTTGCTATGTGGTTTAACATTGAAATAAAAAGAATGATTCAACACGAATCAGAAATCAATCACCAAAAGAAAATCACTGAGTATACAGAGTAAAATACTGAGTGAAAATCATACAAATTTGATGAACTACTCATGAGGTACTGACAGTAATAATAATAACAAGCAAAGTTATCCATCCCCAATGATGGGACAAGTTTAAGTTAATCTATCAATTTAAATTATTTCATGCCCTTTAAAAATGTTAATTGTGTTGCACTCTTGGTTTCACTCAGAACCAAAGCTCTGAACTACTTATACCGTCCACCTTGAAAAGTAATTGTTGAGCATTTTAGTCATGCTAAGAGCCACTCAACAACAACATACAGTAAGTCTACATTTTTATTCTTCAAGTTATGTCACATTTTGAAATGTGAATGATAGAAATGAATCACATTAATAATTTAGTGTAAAATATCCTATATGTGAAATTCAAGTTGGCATCAACATTATTCATGTCTGTTCTCCCATCATTTCAAAAGTGAATGTTGAGCTTTGCCTGTGTGCACAGCTTTTCAAACAGAAGACAGACAAATGCTCAGACATCACAGTTTGCAATATATATATACATATATATATCAGATAAAACCTTCATGTATCATCTTTAATTAAAAAGACTAGGCATTATCAGCTGACTGGAGAAAAGCAAAACACACATACATATATTACTCAAATAGATATTCTAATTTCTATTTCACCTCATCACAAAGAATGAAACCATACTTCCTGGCCAAAAAATAATTTATGAATATCTAATACATACAAAAGATTAGGTAGAAATATCCTTACTCTATGGATGAGCAAAATACATCTAAATATATATATATTATGATATTTTATATGTGCTATTGATGATGATATGAAATACAGGTCACAAATATATTTATAATTTGGAACAAATTTATTCACAGTTGTAAACCCCGAGTTACTAGTTTTCTGCTAGAAATAAAAGTGTGTCAACAGTAATACTGAAAGTTCTACAGATGCAGAAGATATTGCTGGTATTCATAAGTATTTCTACACAAGCTTGCTAAGTCTAGGAAAATTAGTCTATTAAGGGTTCTATCAAACCAATGAATTAATTTTACCAATAGCCAAAGAACACAACAGATGATGATTCAGTTTGAGATAGATTGTCTCTTTCTCGGAAATTGTTGACCATGTTTACTCAAAAAAGGTTACCAAGGTTTTTTTTAGGTTATTTGATAAGGTAGCAGTTTTCTTACTATTTCAATTACCTATTGTGCTCTCCTTGATACAGTTTAAACAATGTAGGTTTTGAATGTGATGCTCATCTCTTGCTGTGCATTTACTAGTGATTCCACTTCTGACAATACTCATGTTTTTATTGATGCAACACAGCACCCACTTATGTACATAACTTTAAAACTAGATAAAAAAAAGCCAAAACTTCTGGTTCCTCTTGGATATCTGTGTGAGAATCCTTTTTTATTTAGGTAACTTAGAACTTCTTCTTTGAAGAACTTTATAAGTTTGGTGTCTCAACAGCTAAAATGTCATCATTAAGCAAATGCAAGAGAGGTTTAGCACAGGAGGAACTGATACAGTCTTCTCCAATCAATATTTATGTTGAAATCTACCAATGGGCTCAAACTCTTACTCAGTGAAAAAAACATGTTAATGTCATGAATGTACCAATTAAAGTACCTGTTTTTTCCCATAAACACTCAAAATTGACTAATATTTTTTTTTGTTCCCAAAAACATGTGTTGACAATCCCCAACAAGTTGAGACTTCTGTTATCAACTGTGCTGAGTTAGACTGAGCTCTAGTTTTGACGATGTTAGTGTTTCTCCATTTCTTCTAGGTGTAAGAAAAGGTGTTTACTAATTTCTTACACATACTAATGGCATAATCTATGCATGTGTCATCTTTCACACTGTGTTAGATAACATATATATATATATTTAGCAATAGCATAGAAACCTAATAAGGAAATGGAACTCAACTAGGCTTTAGTCATAAACAACTGATTTCATTTTTTATAACTTTACCTACCACAAAATCTATATACAAAATTTGATCTAAAATTACACAATACTAACAAAAATTACTGCACATGGTATGCCTTTAGGAATCTAAGAATGTAAAACACACAAACAAAAGGTTGAAAATAATTTCCTGGATGTTTGAAGATGTAAAAATTACAAGGTGACCATCAGCAAAGTGCCAGTTCATTAGTTTGTACTAATGTGTGAAAATTATTCAGTTGAGATCTAATTTGATGATAGCATTAAATTATATCAATTGCAATAGTTGTACTGTCTTAAAATATGCTATGTTCCCATTGTGGGAAATCTTCACCCAAATTAGAAATTAACATTTTCAAATGAAACACATTTTTAACTTTCCCTTGGAAATCCCCCCCCCCTCAAAAAGTTGTCCCAATAAATATATTTTTATAAAAATAGTACTTTTCCCTTTTTTTATATATTTTCTGTATTAATGTACAGCAAATATGTTATTATAAAAGGTTATCAATTACTGTTTCTGAACTATTAATGTCAAAATACTATGGACACATTTAGTAAATGACACTTGAAATATAGAATCAAAAAACAACATCATTTAATTTTTAATTCTGAATAGAGCCGGATAATTAGTTAAATACATTTATTGATTAATCATTGATTTCATTAACCAATTACATTCAACTAATCAATTATGCTCATATGAGACTAATATTTTCAGAATGTTTTTGAGACATTTCTGAACTACCCTTTGTTTAATATGATATACATCTTCAGGTACAATAATTTAAGACTAAATTACTTTTTTTAATCCGAATCTGTTTTTTACACATGAAAATGTATCATATATGCAACACAGTATGAAATCTGTAACAAGGTGAAAATACAATTAATAGTGCTCTCCAGTGCCTCAGTGGTAAGTTTTAGGGCTTTCACTTTTCAAAACTGGGGTTTGATAACCATGGTGGGTCTAATGAAGACAGCCCTTTTGTGTAGTTTTGTGCTTAACAACAAACAATTACAAGTATTTGCTGGGTTTCTCTTTAGAAACTTCCTAAGACTAGTCTTCTGTAACTACTGAATTTTGTTTGATTAAAATAAACATTACTTTGTGACACTGATCATATTGGACATATATAAAATATAACAGTGACTATAGTGAGGTTACAAGTAGGTACAGGCTAATGTAAATTATACATGCTCAGAGATTTAATGAGCTACAATTTCAAACTATAAAATCTATTTTTCATTTGTTAATTCTTTTGAAAAGCAATGCAGAAATATTACTGAAAGTAAAATTGATGTTATTTACATAATATTGCCACAACATGCTATTCCTTCCTTGTATATTCTATTTAAATATCTAATTTTTATCAGTAAAGTTGTAGCACTAAAAGAAGGCTCATGACTGGAATTCCATGCATTATTTTTAAAGAAACGAATATAATGTTCTTGGGTTAAGGGCTGAAAACATTACTAGCAGAGAGGGTATCCAAATGATGACTTAAAGAAGTGTGTTCACAAAAACATTTGTATTTTGCTTGTTACTTATAATTAAGACTACGTATTATTAATTATAAATTATTATTGTACAATTTTAGCAGTATTTCTGTAGAATTTTAGAGTTTAGGTCATTAAATCTCTACTAGATGGTGAACAGTATTATCAGAAATGCAATACATAAATTAAATGAAAGTTACATATGCTTAGTTCTTGAGAACACAACTATATTGAGGTGATCAATAACATGGATACCTTATGTGCATTTTTACTTTACTAGGAGACAACAGTTGCGGGAGAATAAGATTATCACGGGTATAAAATTAGTCATTATTTTGTACAAAACAATATTCTAGTATGAATTGAGCCAACAATTTATTACTTTGAATCAGTAAAATGTTCTTCCATACATCTCTATCTGTATTTTTATTTATATGGTATTCATCATTATGCCCAAAAAATCTAATTATGTTTGTGGTCTGCCACAAAAAAATATGGTACATAGGTAGGATTTCTTTTTTAAACACTTTAAGTATCATTATTCTGCACTGTAGCATTCACTTATCAAAATAATGTTTTTTACACATTCTATCACATCAAGAATTAAGTTACTTTCATTCTTTTTATTTTCATATCTGTTCTTCAAGAAAATATGCAGTTGCTTTTTTTTTTCATTTTTATTGTATATTTATTTTCCACAAGGCCTAAGGGTTATATGCTTGTTTCAAGTTTACAGTTTCAATTAAAATACACTAGAGAAATAATTACAGTTGATTTATATGTACCATACCAAATCCATTCCTCCATAATGTTTAATAGTTCTTTACAGAATTAGCATTTATTAACATACACCATACATTACACACTCCAATCAGTAAAAATCATTATTTTCAAATTAACTAAACTAAATTTATAATATAAAAATTGTGACATGCTGATTTTTCTCTTACAATAATATGTTGGCAGTTTTGAGCTTCTAAATCTTACGTCAAAGTGAAAGAAAACGTCTTTTTTAAATAATTTATTATACAGTTATATACTTTTGATACCATCCATAAAAGACAACGAATGCCAATTTTCCAAACATTATTTCTAGGTATTGTTCCATCTGTACCTGAATTATTTCTCTGAATGAGGAATCTCAATGCTTAGCAATAGCATCAAGTGAGAGACATGTTGGCAAACAAAATTAGCTAAGTGCTACTGTACTTCTTAAACACAAGAAACACATTCTTACAGTTTTTAGATCAATAACAGAGGTGTTACAAACACTAAAGAATGACTGGAGAAGAAACAAAATCCCAAAAGTGCATAACAATAAATGTGTGGAATAAAAAGTTGTAATTTTTCATAAGATTACTTTGAACATCCAATAAGCAATGATTATATTGATTAATGCCATATAAGTTAATCAAATAATGGAAATTATGATTAAATTATTTAATGTTATGAAATAATCACCTAAATCAAATTAGTGTTTCCAATTATTAGAATTTTTGATCATTCCAGCTATCCAAGTAGTCAAAATATTGCTATTATGATTCCTCATACCTTTTAATTAATTGAAAGTTATTCAGTTTAACTGACTAGTGTCATGATTTAATAAAAATAACCAAATAATTAAAATTTGTTTCCTATTATCCCAAGTCTCATGTGAGAATAATCAATTAGCTGAATGCACTCAATTAATGAGTCCAATGACTAATTGATTATCAAATTTTACTAACTGCAAAACTTTAATCAGAACATTTCAAACTATTTGGAGTTTTAAGAGATAGTGTGAAGTCAATCGAAATGTATTTCTTTTGGGAAAGGAATGTAACAGCCTTTTCTGACACAAAATATTCATACACTTAGACCATAAAGATGCATTTAGCTCAGGGATTTAGAAGTTCTCAGACAGGGATGTCACTTGTACTTTATGACACTGGAAAAAAAAAGTATATGGATCAACCTAGGCTCTCAAGACCACCCAGGAAGAGAACAGCAAACAAGTTGTACCCAAGCTGTGGTAAGCAAAGTGTTATGTCTTATAACAGGTAAGAATCTATGAACACACATGTCAGTGGCAAAGTCTGTCCAGGTGCACCAGGCAACAGTACGCAACATAATGAAGATGGATCTTTGTCTGAAAAAGTGGCACAAGTTGCTTCATTGACATGTCTGTTCAACCAGCATACACCTCAAGAAACTGGATAATTAAATGAGTATTCATGCTGTTCCAAAAACACTCTGGTCAAGTTGCCAGATACAGCACCTGTAAATTTTGGCATGATTACTGATGAAATTGTACACTGTGATAAAACTGAATAAAGTGCAAAACTTCATAGAATTAAAATTGCAATAAAAGCAGTGAAACTAAAATTAAGTACTTAAAATTAATAAATAAATAAATATATATATATATATTGTAATGTAACCATCCTTCATGTTAAAAGTTCCAAATAACAGAGAAGAATAACTGTTGATTGTTTTAAAGGTATGTATCTTAAGTAAGTTGGTGTGTGTGTATACAATAAAAGACATTTACAAAATAATAAAAATGTTAAAGTACTGATCTACCTTGGTACTGTTCAGGATTGACTTGAGCTAAGGTTAAACTGCGTCTATGTAGAATATCCTAAAAAGACACAGTAAACACCAATTCAATGTTACATTAAAAGGACTATTTAGATCAATGTGTAAAATATGGAATTACATGCACAGTCAACAAAACCTGTATAACAAATTAGACATGATTACTTTAGACAATATAAAAATATCCATCATGATGTTTGTCACTGCAGGCAACATTTCAAACAATATATATTATAACTATACAATTATGCAGTCTTATAAACATTAGATTTGTGTCTTATTTCCTCAAAAACAAATACAATTTTCTGGAGTTTCAGATTAGTGTTATAAATTTAATACATATAAATAAGTTTTTTATAAAATTTGTTTCAATCTTAGTATATATGAAATAGTTACTTTATTCTAAACTGTCCAATAGTTTAAAAAGTAATATTTATGATTACTGTAACGGATGTATTTTGGAAATTATGATAAAATCTTACTTTTGTATACTTTATTTAAAGATTTAATGTTTATTTATGGGATGTAAAACTGATATTGTAGGTTAATCAATTAGCTTGCTTACACTTTCAACAAAGCAGTGAGTAAATTGTCATTTTACTCATTTTTGGTCAGCATAGGTAGCTATAAGGTTATTAAACACAAGGCAACAGTTAGATAGATTACAAATTATGATAATTATGTAAAAGTTAACTAAGCTTTTAAGCCGTAGAAGAATGTCAAAATTAATCTCAATTAAAGGTCAAGAGCCATTTCTTTCTTACAGTTATTCTGGACTTTCGATCATTGACTTATTAGTATTATTAAGTAGAAGATTCCAGATTGTAGCACCACAAAAATAAGTCTTGATATTTGAAATTGTTACATTCTAACCTATGGCACTTGTATTTACTTCAATGCAGTCAGTTTTTATGCTGTCATATCTAAACACCCACTGAACATATTATTCAAACCTCCATAGCATTATTGTTTTTTTAACCCTATTGTAATGGGCTCATGCATCTTAAACAACCTTGTAACAATGGTGGTATACATACTGTAACTCTGAAAGTACTTAATGTATCTTTATGAACTTTGGTGAGCTTTCAGTAAACATTAAGTCTTTTGTAGACAAAGAAACAGAATTCATATTTAAGTATTTTTACTAAATCTTTGTCCATAATTAAATGGTGTTGATGGCTCTGAGTGCAAAGTGATTTTCATGTTAAGATTAAAAATACTTTTTTCTTCATTTGAAAATATTCAAATTTCATTTGTTTAATCCCTAAATAAATATCAAATGTTTTTTGTATTTTTCTCAGACAAACTTTATATTTTATCTCTTACTTTCTATAGAGATAGTATAGTATACTATAGTATAACTCTATACATGGTTGGTCAATTTGATTGACCTTGTAACCACCATAAAAAAATTGGGATATTCTAAATTACCTTTTTTCTTTCTGGAATGATTCAAATTGTAACAGGAAGCCACAATTGTTTATCCTAAATACTTAAAGCTTGTAACACTTTACATCTATTTATACTTAATTTTATTGTTTAATTGCCATTTGAAGTGTATCTGACTAGAATTCCTGCCAAACAAGTTGTAAATACTCAGCAAATGTTTAGCTCACCCTATTGAAGTACGTTATTATAATAAGTAATTTACATTAACTTCAATACTTCTCAGAGAGGTGGTAAAAAATTAGAGAACAGGGAAGACCCAGAGAGCTAATGTAACAATTTTTGTACTAAGAGAGGTTGTGGATTATTTTTTAACATTTTCTTATAATATCAAGAACTTAAAATTTATATAATATTAAAATTTTATTTATTAGTTACATTTTGATGCTAAGTTTATTGATATACATTGATAATAAAGTAGCTTAATTAAATTTTAATTGTAACTCTGTAGAAGATTGTGATGTGCACTTTAATCTACACAATGCAAAAGGGTTAATTTGAAAATACAAAATTATATTTGAAATACATGTCTCTTGAATATGAACATCTTTTGTCTAAATAGATTTCTAATAAGAGTACCCAGCAAAATAAACTTTTCTCACATTAGTATTATAAACTAAGAACATTACCATTCTCAGTTCATCTGGAAGAAAAAATGAAGGAGCATTAGCCTTTGGCTTCATGTGCTCGACATGTGCTGGATTTCCTGAGTACACTGTGAAATCTGGCATTATAATAGGTGCAGGTGTCTCTTTTGGAGCTCCTCCAGCTTCTTCTGCAGCAAAAAAGTATGTTGTCCCTCCAACTGATTCTTGCTACAATTGAAAAACATACTTGTGAAAAATTTGACTATGTTAATAGCTATAGTGTTAGGAACATCAAGACAAATTTCACACTAAAGCTGTCTTTATTCTACATTTTTTAATTAATCTAATACATATTTCAAAGCAGAGGTGTGTAAAAAAATAGAATTTTAAAACTATCTTTAGTCTACCACTGTTCATGAGGCCTTTCATTCAATACCAGAACTTATCAGTTGGGCTGGACAAGATGGAAGCCAAAAGTCTATCCCAAATGTTAAATGCCAAAAGTTGGTAAAGCAATGGGACCATCAGGCCTAACAATTACAATAAAACCACACTATAATACATATTTTTCCCTACAGACTTCAAGTCAAAGGCATGTAAAAAAGAAAATCACAAATTTAATCAACTCTTTGTACTTTGTACTTTTGGAGACTAGCTGATACAATGATTTGTCAATTTTTCAATTTCTTATTTTATTACTTTTTCATCAAAACAAACCAAAAATATAAATTGGCGAGAGCTTAAAATGAAAACTTACTTGATAGACTGTTCCTGGTGGTGCAAACTGGTCCTGTGTGGTTGAGGTTGTAACAGTCACAGAAGGGCCGCCAACATAAGTTGTTGTTAATGGAGATCTAGATTTTCTGCTGACTAAAGGAGACTGATCAGGAGAAAGACCTGGACTGTCACCCTGTGGCACATCTTATCAAGATAAAATACAAAATATATAGTATAATAAAGCTACTTACTGTGAGGTAATTAACACTAATATGAGAAATTGAAACAAAAATTTAATAGTTTGAGCTATGAATATTTACACTTTTTAAATTAAGCTAAAATGACAATCACTCCTTTCCATTTATACTTAGCACACTACAGTAATATAATTTACTTCTTTGGATAAACCAGTACACACACACACATATATATATTGCAACTGTTTTCAGTTGACCATAACACATACTGTTACTGTGTTTGTGATCACTGATGTACAATAAAAATAACTTTTTTTATCCTTATGAAAAGTATGAGCAAGCAAACTTTTTTAATTGCTAATCAGAAGGTTTCATCTAATATATTTACTAAGTTTGATAACTATGTGAATGATAAGGGCTGGCTTTAAGACTTTTATTATTATTAATTTCTTTTATTTATTTGATAGTTTTAGTTTAGTTTAGAGGATGGTACAGACGAGATTGATCAATAGGACCCTTGTTGTCTCTAAATATTATGTTATAGGTCAGTTGGGCAAAACTATCTAATTAAACCTAATAATTCTGAGGCAGATGTTGTTTCACAAAACAATATTCATATATTCTCCTAACATAATACAGTTGAAGTATAAAATGATAAAGCAAGCTTTTCCTAAGCTTTAAAAAAATCAGGACTGTACTTGTGGCAGAAGTTATTCACAAGCATCTTTTGAGCTTCGTAATAAATTGCTAGAAAAGTTTCTATCACTTTTCTTTGATTTCTACACAAGTCTTGCTGTACTTGAAGAAATATTGGCTTATAAAGTTAAAAAAGAAAAGAAAAACTGCTTTCATTACTTTCAGATCACTAGCCTATAACTTCTCAAACTTGAAACATAGATAATTTACATAACACCATGACAATCGAGGTTGAGAAACACTGACTGGTTAAAATTGATAAAACTACATTTGTACTGAAGATAAGTGGTTGAAATTGGTGCCATTTTGTCTAAAACTATTTCAACTTTCCACCTAAGGTGTTATGAGTGCTATATTATTCTCAGAAAAAATTCAGGAAATTAACCCTCTTGCCCCAGGTACCCTTTTACAGTGCATGACCCAAGGTTTTATTGTCTTACATTCAAAATTTGATTAAACTACTTTTTGTATATGTTATACCAATTAGAATAGCATAAAATCTTAGCTAATAAAACTTGTATACCATTAAAATATGGATTAAGTTCTTAATTTTACAAGGCAATATTTAAAAAAATCCTGAATTTCCACTAGTGTGACCCATGTGACACATTTTGTCTTAGCATGTCATCATCTCTTATTTTATCCATCACCCCTCAAAAATGTATTAAATTAAACGTAAAATACTCTCTATATAATCATTATTGCTCAAACAAACCATAATTTTTATACTCTTCAATGTTGTTTGGTTACAGAGCTATTGAATAGAAAATCAAACCTCTCCTGCCACATCCTCTCTTTCACAATTCCTTGATAGTTCTCTCTTACATTTCATTATATATTACCTATAACCAACATAAAGTCACAGTTTTCATCTATTAAATGACGTACTGTATAACATTGTATTCTGAACAGAATATCATCAATTTCACTAACAGTACAAAATTTGTTCCCATGGGAAAGTTAATGACTAGCTTGGATGAATTTGTAACGGCTCTTGTCACACAGTTAAAAAGACAGGAAAATTTTGAGATGTAAATGAATTTGTCTACTTTTTGCATGTTATTAGACTATATTATTTGGTGCAATTTTTAATTAAATGAAAATTATTAAGTTCATTACAACCAATAAAAAAAATTGTTCGAAACCCGACAGCAAGAAAAAAGAAGATTAAATAAGTACTTTATTTCTTGTTTTTCATATTTATTCTTTATTTATTAGTGCAAAAGTAACTAAAATCTAAAAACAAGGATCTTTAAGTTAGTTAAGGTTAGATTACGTAAAATAAATAATAATAATAATATAGTAAAAATGTTTCACGAGGCATGCACGCGAGCGGCTCGTGGGTAATGTTATTCGATAGCGTAACGTGAACTGCACATTCCCCGAGTGATTTACAACTTATAATGGTGTGGATAGTAGTTAAACATGGTTCAAAGGGCTATAAAACAATAAAATTTAATTATAAATAGATCTATGATGTTAAGAACTTAGAGCTACTTAGGATAACTGAATGTAGTTTTATGTTACAATTTGAAGTCATTTATTATAGTAGTGTAAAAGAGGTGATGAGACATCACTTAAAAACATGCAAGTTTCTCTGAACTAGCACAATACGGTACAATACAATAAAAACAACAACAAAAAACTATGCACTATGATAGAAAAAACAATCTTAGGTTTAAAAACTGAACAAAGCAGCTAAAGTTTACATTTTCCTATGCCAAAAATGTATTTCCAAAAATACTTACCTCCTCTCAAACTTAAGCTTTATCGTGATGAAAGGTTCTCTTCTTTGCCAGTCTGAGCATTGGTATGAATTCTCCCTTGCTTGCTTCAGTCCTTATATCCCACTATATTGCCCCTAGTGATTTTAATCTTATAATCTCTCTGGTATGTCAATGCACCCTCTATACCTGATCTGCAAATAAGCTTCCCGTTATTCTTTTTTGTTCACTTTTTCGAGACTTGCAACACCAGCTATTATAGGGAGGAAGGGCAGGATAGTGTATGTGAAGGTATTATCGGAACTACATTTTCCGTATAGGAAAATGTAAACTTCCAAAACATACAAGATACTTTCTGTGTAGAAAAACAGGTGTGCAAAATTGAAATATAATAAAGCACACTAGTGGGGGTCCACACTACCCAACCTGAAAGTTACATGAAGAGAAGACAAACAACACCTATGTGGACAAACCCTCAATCCAACCTGAAGAAGCACAAAATATAAGAAACAAACTCATAATTATGGGCCGAGGCACCTAACATGAATGTTACAGAAGGTTGCATGCGAGTCACCAGAATTGCAAAAGGAAGACAAGCAACATCCAACGGAACAAATCTTCCCTCCAAGTTGAAGAAGCTCAGAATGCAACAAACCAAACTTGGAATCATGGAGCCAATTCACACCTCACTCAACCTGAAACAGAGACCCTCCGGCCTGAGATTACGAACCAAAATCCTAACTCCCTTACCAGGGAGGCAAGGTAACACTTCCTACCCATGGAATTATGAGGAGGATGTGGAACAAATGAAGTTCAACCAATGGCTCACGGACATGATGCAGAGCATGTGGAATTACGAGGAGTTGAGGACCTTCTTCCATGATCATGAAATGTAAGAATATTACCAAAAAAGAAGGGCTACGCTCACATAACTGGATAGCAAAGTGTCACCTCTGAACTGGAATTATGAGGAAGATCCCATGTAAGCTGCATGGCTCTTTACCCAACATCTGGGAAAAACCATTTGGGATTAAGGGGGGGGGAGTATCCACCTTTGCCTTCTTTTCCTTGAGTGGAATAAAGAGTACAAACATCACCCAGGAGAAATAGACCTCTGCCCACCACTTCAGCAACTGGAAACGGGTTGTTGGGGTAGGACTCCCTTGCTCCACTATAAGAGAGGGGTGACTCGTGTTGGGGAGTCCTGAGGAACGATGCTCCGGAGACAGTGCAGTAGGTGAACATGTTCCCTATTTTGAAATGCAAACCAACCCCAATGTGTTCAATTCAGGGGTTAGCAGGGATGGGCAAAATCAATTTATGCTTTACTCATGATAGTTCATGAGTGGCGGTCCAGTATTGTACATTATATTTGATATAGAACAACTGTTCACCATCCAAAAAGCACCAAGGCAGTCTTTTGGAACACCCCATCTTATGTCAATAAGTTTAGTATCAAACTGTAGATTATAATTCAAATTTTAGAATTACATTAGGATGACAAGAAATTAATGTCGTGTTTTGAAACACTTTCATTAACTCCCCAAAAACGTACATCACGTATAACAGTTAAACAAACCACCTAAACATCATGTTAGTGTAGCCTATATAATGTGTAAAGTTTAGTATACTCTATTCCCTTATAGTGATGGCACATGACAAGACACACATTCGGCATGTAATACTGTTTGAACACAAGAAGGGAAACAATGCCTCTGTAGCCACAAAGAATATCAAAGAAGTTTATGGATAGATTTTGAATGTTCATAAGTGTCAGCAATGATTCAGGAAATTTCGTTCAGGTGACTTTAGCCTTAAAAACTGTGATGGCAGAGGAAAACATATTGTAATTGATATTGATGCTCTGAAGATACTTGTTGAGTCTAACCGATAGCAACACACTCATGAAATGGCCCTGAAATTGCATGTCTATCATGAAACAATATGTAAACATCTGAGGAATATGGGAAAATTCCAAAAAGGTGTTTAGGTGCCTCATGAACTATTCGATGATCATTGTTTCCAACGTGTGAACGTTGCTTCATATCTTCTGGCACGTAATGAGAGTGAATCATTTTTGAACAGAATTGTCACAGGTGATGAAATATGGATTCTTTATGCGTATATTAAACGCCAAAAACAATGGCTCATTCCTAGACAAAAACCACTTCCAACCCCAAAACCTGGACTCCATCCACAGAAAGTGATGCTTTGCATTTGGTGGGATATCAAAAGAGTATTCCGTTCAAACTCCTCAATCCACAGCAAACTGTCAATGCAGAAATCTAGTCAGCAGCTGGAACGTTTAAACCAAGACTTTCATTAAAACCACCCTTCGTCAATCGGAAAGGTGTTCTTCTTCTCCACGACAATGCACATCCACATGTGACACGTTTGACGCAACACAAGATTATGGAGTGGGGTTGGGAAGTTCTCCCCACCCACCATATTCTCCAGATATGGCAACATCGGATTACCATCTGTTTCGTTTGCTGCAACACCATCTCGTGGAGGTGGCAGAGGGACACCTACTGTTGTGTTGTCCCTGTTCAACCACCAGCTAGGATCCAGCAAGCTAGAATCTGACAATCTCACTGGACAATCCAGCACATCTGTGCAAATGTTCCACTGATCCCGTAAGGACCACTAAAAGACCCTCATGTTGGCCCAACCTCAAGCAATGAGTGATTCAAAGGATGCCCACATTCCCAAAAGAGATAGAACTGTGCATTCTGGTGGAGAAGGAGACTCCTCCATAGCCTGAAGGCATAGAGGAGAAGGTTGGGCCCAGCTTAGTCTGGAATTGAAAAACACCCCTAAATGGATGAGGTACTGAGGTACAGGAGGTCTGGAAACTTGAACAGGAGATGCTCTAAACCATCCTGTACAAGAATTATGGGACAGTTGAGAAGCCAGTGTAGAAAGTGAAAAATGTAGACAGGCCACATCTACTCTAGGCTCTATGGAGTCTGGAATTCCCACAAAAATAGACTGTCTGAGGAAAGGAGCCTCTGAGATGTCTAAGGTCTGACATTGACGTAGGAAAGCAAACTCTCTCCGGTAAGGCATCTCTCTCCAACAGATCTCAGCAAAAAACTAGCCAAGATACCAAGGAGAGATCAAAAGCTGATAACCTGACCAAACTGGAAGTCAATAAATGAATAAGATCCTCTGAAATTTGAGCAGGAGATCTATGATAGGCCTCAGACAACAGTTGCAAATATGATAAAAAACTTGTGACAGACAAATTTTGGAAAACTGAGACTGATTAAGATGAACAGTGGCATCTTTTCTAGAGCCTCAAATAGGAAGTAGAAGGTCTAGCTTCTGAGAGCCCAAATAAGGGTTCTTGAGGTGAGGGAAAGGCAAGGCATGCTGATCCAATAAACGAGGAGGACAAGGCATGGCAACATCCTCCCTCAATTGATCTGCAAATCTTCTTGCATGCACAGCAATATCTGGCTAAGGTAGAAGGACCAGGTAAGCAGATGAACTAGTGTCTCCTAGTAAAGAAGGTGAAAATACATAAGTCACATGATAAATACTCAAAACATTACAAACATGGCAAACTAGTTGTAAAAAGGATGCAGGAGGCAGATTGTCCATCTGAGGTTCAGGAATAGCTATCTGAGCAAAGGAAGGTGATGGAAAAATAGTGTCTAAATTCTCACAAGTCTGCTCTTGATCTCCCACAAACTCAGCCTCAAAGCCAACAGGAGGAAAAGCATCAGATTCTACTTCTCTGTGTACAAGGAGCTGTAACCAACACCCAAGTAATGTTAGACTCATGAGGTGGCAGAGGATGGGCATCAGACAACTCCATGTCTGAGACGTGAATGTGAGTATTCATATTAAAAAAATATCTCCAAAACTTTTTTAGCACAAATCAAGAAAATAAACAACAAACTCAAGTCCTATGAAAAAGATCTAAAATAATTCAAAAGAAAACATTGCAAATGTACTAACAGCACAGAAGAGAAACCAACAGTAAACACATAAGACCATCTTTGTAAGTTTTGCCATTGAGAAAAAGTGAATAAGAAAGAATAATAGCTAGCTTATATACGGATCGGGTATAGAAGGCGCATTGACATAGGTGGAGAGATTCACAAGATTAAAATCACTTCGGACGATATATTGGGGTATAAAGACTTGAGAGGTAGAATTCATATCAATGCTTAGATGGACAAAGAAGTGAACCTTTCGTTGGGATAAAGCTAAAGTGTGAGAGAAGGTATATTTCAGAATGCACTCTTAACAACATTTAATGCATACAAGAATCAGAAATATGGACTCCTGTTCCAATCAATTAAAAATATGAAAGATTATCTCATCCTCTGGCATACTGTAAATAGAAAGCTTTACTCACCAAATCTACCAAAAGGTGTACTGGCTGTCAGACCTGATGCACCTATGGCGTATTGGAAAAAAGAAGGTGTACTCATACTGTGTGTTAAATGTCCTGCTGTAGGCCTTGCAACAGATGACATAGGAACAAATTCTGCAGCAGTAGGATTTGGGGTCTTGTAAAATAAGCAACACAATAAATGTAGTAAAGTAGGTACATAAATGCAGCTATTATTACATACTTGATAAATTATTATAAGTTATAAGTAACCTTGGTGCCAGTTGTTACCAACATACTAGAAAAAGAATATTTATTTACTATTTTCTTCTACCAAAAAAACAAAAATATTATGACTAATAATACAGGAATTCATGAAACTACATCTCCAAGTGGAAGTGGATTAAAAATGAACTTTTGCCAGATTTGCATAAAAGAATTAAATAAGTATCAAACATTGTTTTTATTAATCCTATACATATAAGATAACATATTTTACTAAAGACAAATTTCTTTGTGAGTTCTTTTTTTTAAATAAGCTTATTAATAAATTACAAGATATGAAAAAGTAAAAGAAAACAAATTTCAAAATCTCTTAAGATGTAAAAAAGTTTAACTGTATATGTGCTTATATTATTTTGATTATAGAAATGTTTCCAGGAACAGCTAAAAAATAAAGAGAATCTTTCTATACTATAGACTTTCAAAATAAATGTAATTATCGTTTTGACACACAACCAATCACATTGTGAAGAACAGAAAAATCTAATATAAGTCATCATACAGTTACAAATACATGAATATATATATTCAAAAGATAAAGACTTTTGAGAAACATCTCTTTTTAGATGTAATAAATATATATAACCTGTCCTTTCACCACATATAATTTCAAACAATAAACTAATTTTTGCTAAACATATAAAGAACTATTAGTATGGCACCTTTCTTGAAGTTTCAACAGCTAAAGCAGCCATGGCATTAGTGACATCACCAGAATGCAGGTTGGAAGATGGAGGTACAAAAGATTTGGGTTTCTCTACCGAAGGTGACAGTGTACGTGGTGCAATCTAGTTAAAGACAAGATATAAACTGTTAGTTTCTGAAAGTTAACATTTTCCTACACTGAAAATGTATTTCCTATAGATACTTACCTCCTTTCACAAAAAGCTTTTCTTGACTTGTCTGTCATGTATAGGTGCAAATTTTTTCTCACCGCTACACCAGAAGTAGAGAGGTCGGTGGGAAATGTGAGCGAAGGTAAGTATCTATCAAAAATACATTTTCAGTGTAAGAAAATGTCAACTTCCGATACAAACTTACCTCTTCTCACAAATACCTGGAATCCTGCACTGAGTTGGCACAAGATCTGGTGAAAAGATGATTCCAATTTAGAAAGCACCCAAAGGAAGACCATGGGATGTGCAAATAAATGGAAGGCAACACACCTGTGGGTGACCGCACCACTTCTGAGTCAGATATACTCTTTACCTATGTGAAAATGTGTTGCAATAAGGGTGGGAATACATGAGGGATCCCAGTAAGTTGAACAAATGAAATCAAAGGACCTCTGGCACAAAGTGGCTAGGGTGTGTCAAACCATAAATGGGAGATCTAACTCAACCAACACCATACAAATCATGACAGGGATATCTGACCCATGGTAGGAAGAGGGTCCTCTACCTTTCACCTCAGATTCAGGAACTGGTAGGGAAGATGAGCCTCTGTACCTAGGACTTGAATCATCATGTGTGCACATCCAACACAACCATCACCATATTTGCCTGGAACCGACATCTGGCAGGAAGGTGGACAGCAAAGTGGGGTCCATGTCCAGTACAGTACCAGGTGGCATTGAGAATTTATCATTCAGTCTGCAGTAGGAGGAGGGTACCTGGCCACACATGTAAGAATTTATGTAGCTGGTCCAGCTCCAACCATCACTATATCCATCAGGAACCAACATCCTGGTAGAAAAGAGGGTGCCTTAGCTAAAGGGAAAAACTGTATGGTGGAATGCATCGTTTATCACATGGCAGCAACTAGAATTGTACATCAAGTCTACGATAAGATGAGCATCAAGACCATCTACACCGGCAGCACACCACTGTCCTACTCTCAACTGAGTGGGAGTGAACACACTCAGAGGATAAATTTCATGGTCAACCACCCCAGAGGCATGGATTCCCATACTTCACTAGAAGAAGGGGTGAAACAGCACATTGGAGAATCCAGAGAAATGCAGAACTGGAGACAATTCATTGGGTGACCACAATACCTTATTTTAAAAAGCAGACTGATCCAGTGACCTCCAATACATGGATCATCAGCTATAGGCAACAATTCCCAAGTGTTTTACTTATGTTAGTCCATGATAATAAACAAATGGGAAGGGAAACAATATATAGCAGTGCATACCACATAACAGCAGAGAGCCCTGACCAGGTAGAGGAGGCAATCAGGTTTGGAACAGTCATAAAGATGTGATATGGAAGGAAGGTGGAATCACCTTCCCTAGTACCCCAAGTTTTGAGCAGGAAAGAACAACACAGGAAATGTGAAATAAGGTGTTGTAGACATCAATAGCAAACACTTATGATAAATAAAATCTGCATGCCAACAGGAGGAGGAAAAAGATCATTAAGGAGAGGTGATATAAGGAACAGGTGGACAATGGATTGATTGGAGGAAGGGTAAGGGCATGGAGAGCAACAATGAGGTTCTAGTCCAGGAAAGAAACAGGGTGAGGGGGGGATGGGTAAGTCAGTGTGAATGAAACTAAACAGAAAGGACAGGCAAATGGAAGATGTAACATATCGCGTAAAACAAAACATGGCAGACAAGGCAGTGCAATAGCCCATAACAGAGGAAACAGAAAGGCCCCTATCAAAGAGCCAGGTAAGAAAAAAAGTGATGTGGGAAAGTGTAGAATGAGGAGGAGGATAACAATGAGGTATAGATCAATTACAGTATGTGTGCCACTTAAGTTGGTACACAACCATGGAGGAAGGATAAACGGAATAAGGAATCAAAGCTGCCACATACTGCAAAAGGCCAGACCACCTGACTAGGGACCAGACAAAAGCTATGCGTAAAGACAGAGTGTGGGAACAGATAGATGACACATGTTGGACTGTGGCCAACAGAAGAGAGTGAGGAAGATAGGGAGTAGAAGAGTAGGCAACACCACTAGCTGGTGCAATTGTGGAAACCATGGATGTGCTGGACAAGGGAGTGTCACCAAAAGAACATGACACATGGATGATGTAAAGGTTCCAGTAAAGCAGATGGATGAGAGAGGCCAGTCTAAACTTGACAGAGCATCTACCACCCCAGCCAAGGGATATGGAACAAGAGACCAAACTGTGGGAATTGGGAATTGAGATGTGTGGCAAAGGCATCCAGATCTGAAACATCTCACTTGGAACAGAACTACTGAAACACCAATGGGCCCAGTGATCACTCCGTAAGGAGAGTCTTGTTGGGATAAGTGATCTGCGACTAGATTCAGAGCACCCAGAGTATGAAAAACTAACGAATGAATAAGATGGCTATGGGCCCAATATAGGAGGTCCAGTGTCTAAAAATATAGAGCTCACTACCAGTTACCCTCTTGCCTGGAGATTTATGAGATCACAGTTGAGTTTTTGGAATGAACCATCACCTACCAGTCCTGAAAAGCTGGAAGAAAGTGAACCAATGACCAACAAACTGCAAGGAGCTCCAACAGATTGATATGAGTAAAGACTCTAATATAGTCCACCTCCCCAAGACCTCCGGAGCATCCAGGTAGCCACTCCAACTGGAAAGAGAGCCATCCATAAAGAGGTGACATTCTAGACAAGGAAGAGGAATACTCATAGTGGTGTTGTCTCAATCCAACCATCAGACAAAGTCAGTTTGTAAGGAAGGAGGAGAGGAGCATCCAAAGAATTCTGAACAAGGCTCTACTGATCCATTAAAACGAACTGAAAGCATTGCATGTGGGCAAAACCAAGAGGAATGAGGTTATTTGGAGAAGCCCACATCAACC